AACTTTCATCTGAGACCAAGCCTGGCACACCTCCACATGGCACCTCTTCCAGTTGTGGTGAGGTGACTTTTCCTGTGCTTTTGCTGGGAAGAAAGTGGCTGGGGAAGGTGCAGAGACTCAGGCTTGTATCTGTCCCACAGCAGATTCAGCTTGTCAGAGGGGTCAGCAGCATGATCCTGGTGAAGGAAGGGCCATGGCTCTTCTGCATGTGGCATTTCTTGTTTCTGGTTGTGTGTGATGGGTCCAGCTCTTACTAATCAGATTGCAGAGTGGTGGGATACTTGGATCCTCTTTTCTTCCCTGTCTCCTCTGGTATACTGTGAGGCTGTCTAAATGTCAGGGATGCTGGTGATTTGGCTGTGATGGGAGCGAATTTTAATGAGGCTTGCTCTTCAGCATGAATGTATTGGTGTAGCATGTCATGTAGCCTGTCAGTCAGCCAAGTTTCTAGCTTTCAGCTGCTTTATATGCATATTTCAGAGATTGCTTCCAACCTGGGAAAGCCCAGTCAGGTCACTGCAGGGCAAGGCAGAGCTGTATTCCCATACCCACCTAATGCTGACACTGCTTTCCTGCCCCTCAAGGATCAGAAGGAATCCATGGGAATCGCTGTCTTCTGGCTCCTGCTTCTATTTGGGGTGGCTGTTGCAAAGGCAGGCTGGGCTTACTCATCTGCCTTCACTGCAGCCACACAAAGCCTCTTTCGAGGAAGGGAATTCATTAGTTTTGTGAAGTGGCCTTGGATCTGTGGGCAGCAGGTGCTTCTATAGAGCAAACTGTTGCTGAATATTCAACAGTTGCTATACAAGCGTCTGGCCGGCTGCCTGTGAAGCACTTGGAGTTATCTTGAGCATCCGTTTGGATAAAGTGCAAACCACTTAGGGCTTTAAAGATACCCGCAGCTATGTTGTGTTGGTGGTGTTTTAACGTTCAGGGTTGGGTTTTCTTTTTATGAGAATCTCCCAAGATCATAAGCAGCAGCTTTATCTCTTTTGACTCAGCCAACAAAGAAGGGAGCTGCCTAGGAGAATGACAACGCCAGTGATTCATATTCAAGTCGTCAGAACCTCATTCTCTTGCTGGTTTGTGCTAATGACATGTGCACTGGAAACAAATGACTCAGGCTAGAAGTGTCTATTCATCATTAAACTTCTTAAACTCTCCTTAATCTCAAGTTAGCTCTCTTGAGGCTACCTGAATAACACTTGTTCTTGCCAACCTCTAATTTGGTACATGAAATACTGTAGATATCTAAACTATGAAGGAATAATTTGAGAGGCTAATGTGTGCAATCAGCCTTTTCCTTTTTTTTTTTTTTTCCAGTTTAATTTCCTTAGGTGTGGTTTGTAAGCAGCTTGTGCTAGATGTCATCATTGGAAGTCTGGTTATGTGAGAAACTATGATCACTGAACAATTACAGCTTCAAATAACTTACAGCTTTACTCAGTAAGGTGTGGATGCCTGTATATTGTTTACCAGTGACACAGCCCGATTCTGTTGTCTTGTAATAGCTTACTTAAACCTGTATCAGTTTTTTAAAATATATTTTGTCTGTGTTCTCCTACTGATTATTTAGGCCACAGAAGGAAAAGTTTAATTAAATATGTGATTGTGACAGTTGCACTGGAGGCTGGTTTCACTCAGGGAGCTGAAGAGATACCAGAGTGGTGTTACATGAGTTCTGTGCTTTAAGGGATCTGCACGAGGGGTCCCCATGTGCCAGGAATATTGTATTTTCAGGGACAGGGATTCCACACCCCTGAGCTCTCAAAGCTCAGTGATGGAGAGCAGTTCCTGCCCACAGGGAGCAGGCATGCAGGCTGGAGCACGGTGGCTGTCGCTGATCCTGGCTGCTGTGCATTGCCTGAAATTGTGTTAGCACCGATTGGAGGTGGACCTTGAGCACTTAAACGCGGGAATTGACAGCTGCTGGAGCTGAGCCCTCCTGCTCCCGGCAAGGCCATTCGTGGTGCTGCTGGCTTTGAAAGGGCTGGGGTCTTCAGTGTGTGATTTGGCTGCCGGGTGCTCAGGGAGATGCTGAGATGTGCTTCCTAAACATCCACTTCGTTTGCATCGGGCAGTGAGGTCGGGCCAGGTTTGTCAAGGGGGGCCTTGGCAACCTGGGATGTGGCATCCGCTCTCCCTCTGCGGGCAGCTCCTCCAAGGAGCTCGGCTGGCCCGTTCTCCATTTATCCAGTCCCCATCAGTCCCTGAGCTCCCCCTGCTCGAGGATGGGATCAGCAGAAAGGAACACCTGCTTCCAGAAGGGATTCCAAGTCTGGCAGTGAGGCATTTCAGAAGCTGTAAAGCAGGTGTTGAGGCATGTAATGGACCATCACCTCCAAAAACTGATTTCTTTAATTCTTCCTCTTTTTTTTTCCCCTTCTTTTTTTTTTTTTTTTTTTTTTTTTCTTTTGTCCCCAGATGGCTTTAAAGTGCTGGAATAGAGGAATTACACTTTGGAAAAAGTCCCTGGCATTGAGCAGGCTGTGGACAGTGGCGTGTGTGCCGTAGTGTAGATCAGCTCTCCATAGAAGTAAACGTGTGAAGGTTGCCAGAGAGGAGAAGTGAGGCCTCAGCCCATAGAGATGACACTGCACATTTAATTGCTAATGGACTCTTCAAAAAGCACCTCAGCTGCTATTATTAGAACAAGTTTATGTGTGGTGTTACCTACAGGGAGGGGAGCAAAAAGGGAGTCTTTCTTGATCTTCTTGACCTTTACTTTCTTGTGTTAATTTGTTTAATACCAGAGAGATTTTCCTGCTGTAAAAACTTGCTTAAGCAGAGGCTTCTCCAAGATCTCTGAAAAAGACATGCTTATTGGGAGCTTCAGAGATCCACTGTGTACTGCTTGCCCCTCTCTTTCCCTCCTGGATCAGACTTTTACCGGCTGGTGCAATTCCATAATAGCAGTCAGGCTTCATTGTATTAAACTTGTTAAGAAAATAATGTCTGTGCCTGTGGGGCTCGGTGTGGGGGAGGAAACTTGGGGAAAATGTTAGATAAATAAACACTTCTGGGTACTTCTGAAACATGGTAATTGCTCTTAGCAATCTTTGCTTTTTCAACACCTACTAAAAAGGACTTACTGCTTGTGCTATTTGTAGGTCCCAAGGTAATTTGCAAAGAGCAGCAGTGGCGTTGTCCCTGCTGGCTTTGGGAGGGTGCAGGTCAGGTGTGCTAAAGAGGCCGGGGCTGAGGCAGGGCAGGTTCCAGGGCTGCTGTCTGACCTGCCCGAGCCGGGCTCGCTGGGGATGAGGAGCTGTGGCTCAGAGCTGTAAATGTGATTGCACGAGGCAGCGTGGCTTCAATTAGTACTATGTGGTATAGACCAAGGATAAATCCTTTGGAACACCTCTCGGAGCAATACTTCAGGAAAGTTTCAGGCATAATAAAGCTGACACAGAGAAGTGGGAAAAGGCTTTTTGAATAGTGCCAGGTGTTCCACTGATATTGCTTGTTAATCTGGAAGGCTTGTTGAAAGCTCAGCTACAAAAGCATCCAGGTGTCTGCTCTGAGTGTGTACCTGGAGTTTCAAACACAGCAGGCAGTGCTGTTCTTTTCCCTGCTGGGGTATTCATTAGTTAATGAGATTTGAGCAGGTGGGGTTGTTTGGAATTTCTTCAGCCTCCATATGCTAGGAGATTTCAGAGTTACATAAATTGGTATTTCGGGAAAAAGGCGGATGGTGAGACCTGAATTTCTAATAGGAGTTTCTGCAAATCTTGAAAAGCTGCAGTTTCTGCCTGACTCTTTTCCTGTTGAAGTGGAAAAGACAATTGGTGTCATCAGCACAGAATATCACTGTTCTGCAAAAGCGGGTTTGAGCCTCCTTGGCTCCAGCAGAAGAGTGTCCAGAGGCTGTGGGGGTGGACTTGAAGCTGAGTGGTGCCACTGGACCAGTGTCCCAGCAGATGTGCTCAGCAGCAGGGCAGGGAGTGCTTGTGATATAGTGCCAGTGCCTTGGGTGGGATGACAGTTGTGCCTAAACGTGAGGTATATCCCTGAATGAAACGCTCCATTCCTTGTGCCAGTGAACTCAGCTTTAAAAGCTTCACTTGCTAGCAGTAGCTCAATGGTCAGGCTGCCTGTGGAGCTTCCAGATGAGCTTTGGAGTAGAGCTCTGAGTCAGGACTTGCTCTGCAGCTCTGAGTTATTTGTGTCATGCTGGATGGGAATTGTCAAAGTTGCATTGTGTGGGCTGCTTATCAAAGGATAGAGTAAAATCTTAGCCTTTATTTTTTCAATTAAGATTTTTTATTTGTGCCTCAGGGACAAGCAAATAGAACCCAGCTTGTCTTGGCTGTTCTTAGTATTTGTGGGGCAGGAAGGGGAGGGAGAGGACAGACAGCAAGAGCAAGGAGTTGCAGTAATGAGAATGATGTCTTATTTTAGTTGATATTTAATCAAGACATGTGGTTCCAGGAAGCAGGAAGAGATGATTTTGCCCTTTTTTTTCATGCTCTCATATATCTTTAATTATCACCAAGACTTACCCTAAACAATTTAATGCCTGCCAATTCCTTTTTCATCTTACAAATTTTGTCCATCCTCAAAGGCAGGGTGAACTGTTGGGCTTATCTAGTTTGCTTTTGTTTAATCTGTCATATTAACTAGAGGACTAACTCTTGGTGGCTAATACATTACCATCTCTCAAAAGATGCCTAGTTTTGTTGCAAAACTTCGAGGATATTTATTACTTCAAGTACATTTTGTTAGTGAATTAGGGTAAAGCTGACTGCATTTTATAGCTGGGTGGTGTGTCCTTCTCTCCTGTGAAGTCAGAGGCAGTACACGAGCCCCTCTGGAACATACAGGCTACTTTATTGGCTTGTAGGAGCTGGCTTTGTAAAGCAGGTCAGCTTTTTGTTTCATGGCTTTTATTCAGTATCAGTCTTGCTTACCAGGGCATCAGAGAGTGTCTTGTTGCTTCTCGTGTGTCTGCTGAATTGCCTTCAGGGTTGATCTGACCTGACTCCCGATTTTCCTCGTGCCAGGGCGGTGAAATCCAGGACTGTGCCTACCTGGACAGCGAAAGCACCTACAGCGAGTCGGAGCTGTTTCCTGATGAGGACGCGATGACTCTGGCACAGCAGGAGGTTCACCATGAGTCTGACATGGATAGTGCCATTGAGAGCGCCCAGAGCTCCGAGGCCTCGGACGTCTGTCGCAGCGAGGACAAGGACGGCGTGCTCGGTGGCCTCTTCCTGCCCGGTGACAAGTGAGTGGTGCCAGCTCCGCTCCAAGGCGCGTGCCGGGGAGGAAGGAGCCTTTATGTGGCTAATCCCTACTGGGGAGGCTGAGGGTGGCTGGTGGATTTAGAAACTCTTAACATCCCTTTACAACATAAGGGGGACGGATGTCCAGGTCCTCTAAGTGGCTTAGATAGTCTCAGTCCTGGCTCCTTCTGGCATGTTCTGTGGGCACTCACAGGACTTGCATGCTGTGTGTTGAAGTGAAAGCATTGGGTCTCTCCAGAACAGGTCACTGCAATAGCATCCCCCAAAACATAGGTTCTTCTCTGTTGCCATAAGCTTTATATGCTGGAATTAAAACAGTATTTCCTGCAAAGCAGTTTAGTATGGGGAATACTGCTGCAGTCTTTTGTACATCTAGTTGTGTACCTGGTGTTGTGGGCTCTGCTGATTTGCTTTGCAAATTCATGTACCAAGTTAATTCTTTGTGTTTCTAATTTTCCATAGCCTTTATTGTGCAACAGTAAATTGTGTTTAACACGGGGTGTCCTGGCATGTGTGTGTGTAACCATAGTTTGCTGTTAACACCAGTGTCTCTCTAACCCTAACTTCACTCTTCCCAGGTGTGTACCTGGGAGCGCTGGTTAAAGATGATTGTGGGGGAAAAGAACCTAATTTGGCTTAATCCTGCTTTGAACTGAATTAATGCAGTTACCACCAGACAGAGCTCAGCTGGGCTTGCTTTGTAAGCCTCTGCCTTGTCTTCCCTATTTTTGGCCTGTCATCTTGATTTGTGCCTCTTGAGCTTTGTTCGTTGCTAAGGCAGCCTTTCTTCTCTCTCCTGGGCCTCCTCCAGTGCTCCCTGTGCTGCCTCGTTCCTGCCCTCCTCCTGAATTTCTCAGCTGGCTGAGTTTTGGCCTTCTCCCATCTGCCCAAGCAACCTCAGAGACTTTATCAAGATAATTACAGTTTCCATCAGCTCTTTATCAAGCTTGTCTCCTTTGCTTGCCATTCCCAGTTCTCCAAAGCCCCATCCTTGTGGTGACTGACTTTTTCCCATGCTGTGTTTGAAATGTTTTTCCTCCCAACTGTGCTAGTCAGGCTCTTTTGAAGGGGGTGGGCAAGGCATTGTGCCTCCTCTACCCTCCTAGGGCAGGCAGGAGCTACCAAGAGCTACTGTGCTCTGATAGACCTTGATTTATCCTCTGAGATCTCCTCAGCTTTGGTAAATCTGTGGGGGGAATGCATGAGAAGCTTCATGCTTTTGTGTTAAAAGAGGCACTAGAGCTATTCACTTTGTGCAATAGAGAGATTTACTTTGTTGCTTGCTGAAGAAGCAGGTGGGTTGTGTATCAGCCCTCTGAAATCTTGCTCTGAAGAACAGGAGATTACCTTCGAAAACAAATGAAAAAAAAAAACCCAAACAAACAAAAAAGCACCAAACACTTGAAAGTTCCCTTCAGAAAGTGTTAGAATGAGGAAAATCAGTCACTTTTAGCAACTCCTTTGCAAATGACTATGTAATTGCTAGGCCTGTAGTCTTGGTGGAAGTGTTACAAGGAGCTTTTTCCCAAACTCACTTGGTATAACTGCAGTTGAGATGCAGACAGCAGTAGGATTGTAAGATCTCCCAAAAACTTACCAATACAAGTATGTCTGTGGCACAGCAGCACTTAATGAATAAATGTTAGTGTGATATGTTGAGCTTCTCACTAATCCCTCAGCCAAGGAGCCTTGTTAGATAAGTTTCATCTATTTCTTGTATGAGTATTCCTATCTTTATCCTTCAATAGTGTGCCTGGCTTGACTTGCCCTAATTTCTGTTAATGTGAATTAGATAAATGAGTTGCAGGTTATAAATGGATCTCATCAAAACAGGGGAAACAAAAGAGCATACATCTGAAATGTTGGCAGGCTTCCTCTTCTACTAATTGCTTTTGGAGGGAAGGGATATGCAAATGACGCTTGCACCATCCACCGAAGGAACACGGGTGCATCTCTTGTTTACAGCTCACAAGTGGAGTATTACAGGAAGAGGACTCTCCCTGTAGAGAGGTTGAGAGGCTCAAGGTACACTCAGAAGAAGTTTAGGAGGAAATATTGTTGAGCTGCTGGAGAGCAATGTCACCTGGGAGTTACTGTCCCATGGCGCAGCTGGTGGAGCTGGAGATACAAGCACTGTGCACTGAAGTAGAGGGAGAGAAAAACTTAACCCAATCTGCATAAAGTGCCAGCAGATTCCATTAGTGCTTGGTCTGTGCTACTGAGGCCTTGGGTTCTGCTGCAGAGGGAACAGTTGGGCAATGCCAGGGCCTCAAAATTGAAGCATCTATTTCACGTCTTCCAGGTGTGTCTTCTGTAGAGAGAAGTTTGTTTGTAAGAACTTTTTTGTGAATTTACTGGTTTGTCTGTTTGACTGCCTCACCAAGGTGGGAGCTGAGCAAACTTGTGTGAAACACCTGCACTCTGCAGGTGCACTGCACAGAGCAGTCTGGAGTCTGGGCAGGTGAACCCTGTGCACCCTCTGCAGCCACCTTGCTCTGTTTTATTAGATTTGATGTGGTCAAAACTGCTCTGCCAGCTGCTTTCCTGTGGTGCCTGACTCTGCTGGTCTGTTTACTTACGTGCCCTCTTTCTCTGAAGTCACTGGGTCCTGCTACTCCCTACCCATTTAACATCATTTTAGGTACTTTTCTGGTAGTTAGACAGCCTTTTCTTGTGGTCCATATCTCATCTGCAAGACAGAATTTGTCCTGATGGAAGGAAGGGCAGGACCCCAGCCTCCATTAGTCGCATCAGTAGCTTTAGTGACTCTCTAGTAAATGGTGAGCAGAGGTTTCTTTCTGACCACACAGAGGAGAGTGGCTGGAATTCCTGGGGTGTGGGAGAGGGTGTATCTGGATTACTGGGAAACTCTCTGATTGTGGAATAGAGTGACAGCCTCTGTCTTATACATGTTCCTCTCACTATCCCATGCATTTCAGAGCTGTCTGCATGGTTCCTGCATTCTGAGCAGAAATCCCCATGTGGTCTTCACATGGAAGTGGTGGCTGAGGATCATCAAAGTGTGCTCTTTAAAGCAAAATGGTTTGTGTTGATCCAAACTTGTCACACAGGTACCTTGTTCATAGATTCTCATGCTCTTGTCTCTCAAGGCTCTCTGGCAGATGCATATCAGGTACATTTAGCACTTCAGGGCTTTAACACAAAGGTGGTTTACAGCTTCAAAGAGGGGACAGCCTGTGAAGGTGGAAGGTTCCATGTGAGGTGAGGTGCTATCCAAGTCGGCCTTCGAGATGTTTTGACCTCTTGTTTCAGGTCAAGTCCTCACAACCCTTCTGCAGCATCTGACCTCTCCACTTATTCCACCGCCTCCCTGATCAGTAATGAAGAACAGTTTGAAGACTATGGGGAAGGAGATGATGTCGATTTTACTCCCAGTAGCCCATGTCCTGATGATGAGACCAGAACCAACGCCTACTCTGACCTTGGCTCATCTGTATCTTCCAGGTTGCTTCTTATTCATTAACAAACAATTTTTCATTTTTATTCTTCTCTGACCATAGCAGAGTTTACACTGGTTAGATAGACTCACCTTAAAAGCAAAATATTATCAGTTCATTTCCTGCCTTCTAATAGACAGACTGCATGTAATAATAAGAGCTATAGCAAATATGTTGTTTCTGGTGACCTCTGTTGGGTTCTGTTGAAATAACTGGGCTATTTTGCTTGTAGAGATTTCTTTCTATTGCAGACAATAATTCCTCAGTTCAGGGCTAGTATTGGAAGGGATTTGCTGCAAAGGAAACCAACGTCTCATTATGTACCCACCCTGGTATAGTGAAGACTTACAAGAGAGCTGTTTCCATTTAGCATTCTGATACTACAAATCCTTAGCACTAATCTGTGAGGGGAACTGCTGCAATATGTTCAGGGGGTTATTTGAAACAAGCATCCTATTGACTTGGACTGTCTTGGGAAACATAAGCAAGTAGCTGCTGTCTGTTAGGGGCTACAAATCCACAGCGGTGCACTTGCCTCTTGCATGTATCCTCAGTCTCTGCAGCTCTTATGTCTTGTGGCCAAGGCAGGTCCAGATTGTCCAGTCATTCCCCCAGGCAAGGGAATGTGTGAGCAGGGTTGGGAAGAGCTGAGCATGGAGATTCTCTAGGATTAGGATCTGCTTGGATCAATAGCCCACGGAGGTCTTGTCTTCATTGCTAGTGCGGGACAAGCTCACTGCATCCTTCTGTTCCGCATGCAGCCCCCACGTGCTCCCTGTGCTTCCAGCATTTCTGCAATCCAGCCTGGCCATGTCTCATGCATGCAGAGCCAGACCCCTCTCCACTGTCCCTTCATGATGATGGCTCATGTCTTTCATCCCCTCTTTCCTCAGATTTATGCAGCACTTTCCATTCTCATTCCTGGGGCTCAGTGCACATCATGCCATGATTGCTGTATTTTATTTGAGTTTATTTTCTCTTTATCATGCCAAGAGGTACTGTTATCTCCTCTATAGACCTGTGTCCACTTCTCCCTTCCTCCTCATTCCAGGGTTCCTATCATCCTATCATCTGAGGGGGTTCATGTGACTTCCTACCAGACCACTCTGTTCTTCATATTCCTGCCTTTCTCTTGGAGAGAAGACTCTTCAGGTTGCATGCCAGGCTCTAGTGGGAAGATGGGCAAGATGAGAGGGGGACATTGCTGAGGTTGAATATACTCATGTAGCTGCCTTTGCTATGTGCATCACAGTGGACCACATGTACCTTTTGCTGTTCTTTTGGTCACCCAGACTGATTCTTTCCACTGCCACCCAGAAACATCCACATCCTCTGGAAGGCCTCAGCTCAGACAGGTGGACTTGCCCTAAGAGTAGCAGTGGCCATCATCAGCTCTGACATAGATGAGCTGTGATTAGAGATGGTTCTTCAAGTCCCTCATCTGTGATTCTGACACACAGTCACGAGGAAACCTGTTGTGGGTTGGTTACTACAGCCAGTAACATCTCTCCTTTCCTGCAAACAGTGCTGGCCAAACCCCCCGAAAAATGAGACATGTTTATAACAGCGAGTTACTGGATGTTTACTGCTCACAGTGCTGCAAAAAGATAAATCTCCTCAACGATTTGGAAGCCAGGCTGAAAAACTTGAAAGCAAACAGGTAAGCAGCATATTGCACTGCTTTTGGCAATGCCTCCTTGACATGGGACTGGCTAATAGCAGGAGGAGAGGGAGAGCAAGCCCTCTCCCTTCTGTGTCCCATTCCATCTTACACGTGTTCTTCCAAATCAGTAAGAAATTTAGACTTGCATATGTAGCCTAAACCAAAATGCTGTTCTTCATCAGCTGTTAAATATTTTTCTGATTTAAGGTGCAGACATCATTGCTAAACTCAGATATTTTAACCAATGAGCTCTTTGATTGCAGAGTGAGAATGATATTTCAAGGATTTTTTCCCAGGAAGTGGGATCTGCTGTGCTGCTTAGTGCAAATCTACAGTTAGCTCCTGCTTTCTCCAGGTGGGAAGGAGGGATCTCCAGATCCTTGGCTAATGCACATAACCTTACATACACCTCTCCTAAAGCTACTGGTCAGCAGAGGTACTTGGCTTCTCTGGGATTTTTTTTGTGATGTCAGCGGAACTTTGAAAAATGATAAATCCTATGGCAGAAGTTATTTTTGGAGTTCTTCGCAATTTCAGCCTTTTCCTTACGTTTCTCTCTCTGCCACTCCATTGCTCCTAAACTGTGCTGAGCACTTAGAAAGTGCTCTAACAATCACCTAGGGTATTTGAAGGGAATTATTTGGTGGGATTTTAGCTCCCCCTAGAAACTGGATGTGAGTCCTGCCTGTCGGCATAATCCCTGGGACGGAGCACGCTGCCCTGCTGCTTCTCGTGAGGCACAGCAGTGTGGATAGAACTTGCCATGAACAATGTTCCTGCCCTAGCAAGGAGTCTGCCAACATCCAGACCATGACCAGCCAGGGCTTTGGGAATTTTCTAAGGGAGGTTGGATATGCCTGACCAAGAGCTGTGTGTGTGCACACAGAGATGTGACATCCTCTTACTGAGAGATGCAGCAGGATATTTTGGTCTGGTTCCAGTGCTGTCTGCAGCAAGGGGTCTTCATTTAGATAGCACCAGTCTCTGGCTGCACAGGAGAGCTGTAAAAATGGAAAGACCTCAGTTCCTGTGCTGAACTGGGAAGCATTATGGGGAAGGATAAACTAACTGTTCATAAAATCATCTAAAAACTGGAAATCCAGAATGAATGTCCATCACTAACTTGGTGTCCCTTTGTGGTGTTTCTAATGTTAGTTTCTCTCTGATTTACACTGACAAATCTCTGCTACATGTAACAGTATTTGCAAATTGACTTATTAATGATCACAGTAATTTGTGGCTTCACTCATCTTTGCGTTCTTAGTAATTGCAGCTTTTGATTCAGTTGTTAAAGAATATTGTTTCACAGAATCATCTTTTGAGTAGGCTAAAAAAGTCCATTATGTTTCATTGTGCAATTGAAATTGAATCAAATAAGTGTTTAATTCCTATATCATTCCTTCTGTATCCATGTAGCCCTAACAGGAAAATATCAAGCACAGCTTTTGGAAGGTAAGAGTCTACAAGTTTTGTATGAATATTTGTGGAATCAGCCATAACAATTCCATAAGTGGGAGTGGGAGACGAAAGTAGGAATAATTTCAGAAAAACAAAAATGTACCAAAATAAGTTTTTAAGGGAAGGGGCCTGTGTTTGGGTATGAATGTTGCCCCTGTTACTCTTGGAGCAGGCTCCTGAACTGGAAACAGCTCTGTTAAAAATATGGATAGTTTTTGCTTCCTTGTCTGCCAAAGGTATTCCTTTGTACTGCTATTTCATCAGTCCAGCTACTGCTTCTTTAACCCTCATAATGTGGGCCTTGTTGCCAAAATGTGAAGGAAAGCAAGAGCACCCCTTTAAAAAGGACATACAGAATTGTCATCTTCCTTTAACTGAGTGAACCAGCCCTGCTCTGGGGAGGGCTGTAAGGTTCAAGGACGTTTTAGATAATCTCCAGTGTTACATATTCTGACTCTATTCTGCAGTGGGAACTGCTTGATATTTCATTTTTTCTGTTTTTTTTGAAGTTCTTACTGTATGGAATTTTCTAGCTTAACTGTACCAACCTATGTGCAGTGGTGACCTTATTTTAAATTTGTAATAAGCAAATATGATTCAGTGCATAGTGTGAATAAGGCTTAAGTATTTTTAAAATTATGTTAATGCTAGTGGCAGATCCTATCAAATGCAACAAAGAGCTCACTTCATAGAACTAATGTCATTGACTGTGCTCAGTATGACTTCATTTAGCTACCAGTCTCTTGTAAGACTTGGGCTTAAACAGTTGTAATTGTCACTGAAATGATTGCACAGATTTTACTATGGATGTTCAAAGTCTGAAGCCAGACTCTTTGTCCTCCCTCCTCATCAAGCAAAATAATGATCCCTCTGATCTTTCAGACAACTCTTCCACAACAGTAACTTCAGCAGCAGTAATGGCAGCACAGAAGACTTGTTCAGAGACAGTATAGACTCCTGTGATAATGATATCACTGAAAAGGTGAGAATCTCTGTGAGTAATGCCCTGTGAGTAATGTACCCAGCCAAATGCTGCTGGAGCCCAGCATCAGGGGATCAAGATCTTGCTCAGAATTACCCATGATCTGAAGAAGTTTATTTCAAAATGTCCTTGATGTTCCATTACTATTACAACTTTGCTTGGCAGTAGCACAAGAACTGAGCAAGCACTGATCTAGGCATTGTGTTAGGACTTCTTTATGGTGTATTTGCAGTGATCACCTTCAAGGAACATGCAGGGTCTGGGGAACTCAGAATTGTGGAGCTTCATTTTGTTGCTGGCTTTGCTGAGAAATATACCCCCTTTTAAAATGGTAGAGTGGCTAAATGCCAGTTAGGAACAGTTAAAGGGTGTTTGAAGAGAGATTCAAACTCAGTCTTTTTTGCTTGTCCTTCCAGGTAACGTACCTAGAGAAGAAGGTGACAGAACTGGAGAACGATAGCCTGACAAATGGTGACCTGAAGAGCAAACTGAAACAAGAGAACACACAGCTGGTTCACAGGTAACAAAGCACAGAGCCAGGTCTCCTCACCAGCACAGTTGTGGGGAAGGAATATTTCTACCTCTAGAGTATTATCAAGTCTTCTTCCTTAATGCTGACAGATGAAATAAGGCTTCATCTGAGAAGTCCAGGTGGAATAGGGCTGCATTGCTGAATTTTCAGCAAGAAGAGGCCTGCAGACAAGTGTTTTTGACAGAATGTTACTGACTTGAACAGAAAAAACTCTTCTGCTGTAAGAGAGGTTATCCCTGGTGGTTGGGGTTTTTTCCTTGCATGTAGCAAGAGCAGAAGGCTGGGTCTTAGTCTCAGCTTCATGAGACTGAAGGAATACTAGATGAACTGATACTACTTAATTCTGTGTTTGTTAGTCTCAGCTTCATGAGACTGAAGGAATACTAGATGAACTGATACTTAATTCTGTGTTTATTAGTAAATATGAGAGATGCTGGGAGAGGTTAAATGCCAAAATAGATGGTGAATTAGAATGAAACAAAGGAGTAGGCAGGAAAGAGAGAGGCAATGAATTTGCTTCTGAAGCTGTTACTGAAATGAGATCATATTTCCTTAGAGTTCATGAGCTAGAGGAATTACTGAAAGACCAAGAAACTTCAGCAGAACAGACTCTGGAAGAAGAGATAAAGAGACATAGAGAAGCTTACAGCAAGTATGAAAAAGAGAAAGGCACTGAAATTGAACTGCTAAATACAAGGTAACAAACATCTTGGTGTCCCTCTGAACAGGGCAAAAGGTCTTCTTTTCTTCGTTTTTACTTTGCTTGTAAATGTAGGCTGTTCTCCAGCAGGCAGTGCACAGATGGTGGCAGGTTGGCAGCTCTGTGGAGTAGCTCTGCAGTCACATGTCTAATGCCCAAAAGCTTGGAGGATGCTTTACATTAATGCTTTAATCCACGTGGCCCATGTACACAGCTTAACTGGATATTTGGCACAGATTCAAGGAAGGAATTGTGACCAGTTCTAGCAAACGTTTGTGCCTGCATTTGTTTTTTACAACTTATGTTTTTTCATCTACCTGTTGTTAGGAGCACAAGAATGTGGGGGTCAGTGTAGCATTTTGGGCCTTAGAACTGAACAAGCAAAAATGCATGTTAAAAAGTACTATGATTAGAAAGATTTTCCCTGTTTGGTCTTTGTATCAAGTTGCAAGTGGGATGGCTTTTTAGAGCATGCTATTGTGCATGTCTATGTTCTTGAAGAGGTATTTGCTGTAAGATTTTTGTTATTAACACAGGGTTCAGCAACTGGAAGAAGAAAATGGTGATCTGAAAAGCACTGTCACACGGCTGAAATCCCAAACAGAGAGATTGGATGAGGTAACAAAACTCCTGAGTCCTTGAGCAATTTAACAGCAGTTTATGTAAAAGCAAACTCTTACGGTGCTTGGCCCAGCTTCTTAATTTTTCCTTCCCTAAAGAAGATTATTAATGAAATTGGAGCATTGGTCACCTTTAGGGGCAGGAACATCCTGAGACACAAGGCAGTTCATGGCCAGCTGTGTCTGTAGGTTCCTGTTGTGAAGCTGAGCTGTGTCCTGCTCTTGGCAGCCTGTTCTGAAGTCCCCCGTTCGTTCCAGGAGAGGCAGCGCATGTCAGATAGACTGGAGGACACAAGTCTGCGACTGAAGGATGAGATGGATTTGTACAAGAGGATGATGGACAAGCTGCGGCAGAACAGGCTGGAATTCAACAAGGAGAGGGAAGCCACACAGGAGGTAAGTGTGAAGAGGGATCTAAGACCAGGCAGTTTCATATCACCTGTATGGAAGCCCTGGAGAGAAGGAATGGGCAGACAGGATGAGCACTGAGAACACCATATCCAGTGAAGCTGTTGCTGGTTTGTGTTTCTGTGGGAAGGGTGCCCACAGAGCAATGAATGCTGCAAGAATACTTAAAAAGTGCCAATCTCTGACCCAAAGGGCTTACAGCTCTTGGAGAGGTGTGTGCCCTAATGTTTCCCTCTGTTTGCAAGAGAAATTGTGCTTCTCGTGCATGAAGCTTAGTGACCACAGCCATTGCCAGCTCTGGGGCTGTTTAGGGGACCTGTGCTTGCAAAGGAAGAGGAAGAGGCTGTGGTGTAGGACTGTGGCCTCAGCCAGGCTCAGGGAGTGCTTCTGCTGGAGTAGAGGGGGCTGTTTGCAGGGAGGGCTGCACAGACAGGGCCTGTTTGCTGCCCACAGCTCATCGAAGACCTGCGGAAGGAGCTGGAGCACCTGCAGCTCTACAAGCTGGAATGTGAACGTCCTGGACGCGGGAGAAGCTCTTCCTCCAGCCTGAGTGAATTCAATGCCAAAACCAGAGAGGTGGAAATGGAGCATGAAATAAAACGGCTGAAGCAGGTGAGCAGGGAAGGCCTCTCAATCCACATCAAATGTACAGGAATACCTTGAAAAATGCAAGCCCCAGTACTCTGCCTTGAGATTTTGTCCCCCCTTTCTCACACAAGCACAAGAACCTCGTTGCATCCGTGCAGAACTTCTTTGCACTGGTGATGTAAATTGTGCCCCAGGACAATTCAGGCAGGGAGGCCTTGTCACTGGAGGTAAGAGTTGCTGTCAGCTTCACCCTCGCTGTGTCATCCAAGGTACCTCTGATGTTAAAATACTTTTTTAATGAAAAAAAAATTTAAAAAACAATGTCTTTTCATCCTTGAATAGGAGAATCAGAAACTTCGTGACCAAAATGATGATCTTAATGGACAGATTCTAAGCCTCAGTCTTTATGAAGCTAAAAATCTCTTTGCAACGCAAACAAAAGCCCAGTCACTGGCTGCTGAAATCGATTCTGCATCGAGAGATGAGGTAATGTGCTTTTCTAATCAGATACTACATCCAAGAATATGCAATTTTCAATGTAATTGACTGTTGAGGTTGAACTATCTGTAGTTGACAAATGAACAGCAGAAAATTCTGCTTTGCGAAGAGTTCAAGGCTGTTAGAAGATTACCTTAAATCTAACACTATTTTGGTATCCTTATATTATAACTCTCCCATTTTTCTCTCAAAAGAATTTGAATTATTAGGATCACAGTGAACTGTTTTGCAGTTCTGGCATCTTGTACCTTGCAGAGTAATGTGAAAGTATGATATTAATTTCATACAAAAATGGCTATTGCTCATTACTTTAATTTTTACTTTCTGTTCTAGATTTAGGTCTATGTTACTTCAGTAACAAGGTCTCACTTATATATTTGAGCTATATATTCCCTGTAGCAGAGCTGAATTCTTGGAGAAAGTAACTTCTGTGCAAATAATAACTTGGTAATGTTTGAAAGATATTCTGGGAAACCCGTTTGTATGTGGGCTGAGTCCAGCTGGTGCAGCTTCCTCTGAGCTCCAGGACAGATTGTGAGATCAGGCCAGCAGATACATGAGAGCTCCCAGGGAAGAAGACAGGTTAGTGGTGAAGGAGATCAAAGGAATTGTTTGTCCTTGATGCTCTATCTTTTCCAGACAGAACTTCCCATTTCTTCATCAAGAAAAGTTGTGAGACAGAAAAGTCCTTTTTACCCAGTCTGTACTAAGACCTGTCAGTCTTAGCTCCTGGGCAGGCCCTTGAAGTGAAGGCCCTTGAATTATATATTTGAGAACTTCATTTCTTGCTGAACCAGAGTACTGTGAAGAAAGGCTGTTTACTTGTAGAGCTCTAATTAGGTAAAAGCAAACTGGCTTTTGCTATTGTCAAGAAAAATCTGACTTTGTCCCTCTAAATCTCGTGGCTCTGGCTCATGTGAGGAGTATCCAGCACTCTCCCTTTTTAAAGGAAGAAAGTACCTGAAAGCTGTGGCCCAGACTCAGCAAAACCTCACAGACCTGCACAAACTGTTCCCATTGTGCCATTTTTCCTGCATGATCAGAACAAAGGTAACAATCTGCAGATTCAGGGTGGGACTTCTGTGAAGCCCTATGAAAATGGACAGGCAAGTAACATGAGCTTTAGGAGGATCAGGGGCTCTGACATGCCTTGACAGCTTTTTCAGTTTGGCATTAAACATTGAGATAAAAAGCAAAGCAGTCTTCATCTGTAGAGAGGTTGAGGGGCCTTCTACAGCCCAAAAATCTGGTGAAACACATGTATTTAGTACAGAACATGGAATAGCAGGTGGGTTGTTTTTGTGGAGTATGTAGTGGGTTTTTTTTGAGAGAGAGTATGCACATGATCCAGAGGAAGCACATAATTTTCCTGGTGCAAAACACTGAAATATTTGTTCTGTTCATCAGCCTTTCATGCAAACACTTTTAGATTTCAGTAGTTATGAAAAAAAATTGAGTGTCATGAAGCTCTTGCTCTGAGATGAAGCAGTTGATCCATGGTATGATGCAGGATGGATTGGCATGTTAGGTGGGGAACTTGTTTCAAATGACCTGCCAGAAGATCCCTGGAGATGACTGTTCACCACCTTCTTTGATAGCAAAGATCTGTAACATACAGAATTGTTTCTAATACAGATACAGGGAGGAGCTGGAGTTAGAAAACCTGTCACAAAAGGAATTGGTGATCCTGAGCAGGCACTGGTCTCTCACTTGTCTCAGTTTCAGGCTGCTACATAAACTACTGAGAATATTTCAGGAGTAACTTGGAAATGTTGTGTTTTAGCTCATGGAAGCCCTCAAAGAACAGGAAGAGATAAATTACAGATTGCGACAGTATATGGACAAGATAATTTTGGCAATCCTGGACCACAATCCATCTATCTTGGAAATAAAGAATTGAAGAGAATATGAGAAGGAAAAGCAGCAACTGCCTGATATTTCTGCACATGCCACTGGATCTGAGCAGCACTCTGATACTGTAAATGAATCTATAAATTATATAATACACACTAGGTGTGAGTGTGGGTGCACGGGTGTGTTTATATGATGTTTGGTACACTGTTATTTGTCATTGAATTGGCTTGGTTAGACTTTTTCCATGCACTTTCAATACCTGTGATGAGATGGATACTGTATATTAATGTAATAACAATATAACTGGATCATGCTGTTTTAGATACTGGACAAAATGACTCTACCTCTAGTTGTAAAGGTAAAAATAGACAATGGAAACATATGGATGTGGCCCTAACTTTAGGAGCAAGAATGTTTTTCTTTGTTCTTCCCAGAATTTGGGTACCACCAGCCAATTGACATACCCAGGTTCAGTTCCTGACTGGTGCTGACTGTGTAATTTCCTATTTGATTTAGTTTTAGTACTTAAACCACACATCAGATTAAAAAAAAACCAAACAAAAACACAACAAAAACCCACAAAATTTGGGAAAAGACACAAAGTAAATGGGAAGGAAAGGAAGATACTGCAGAGTTTTTGCTGCTTATGAAAAATCACCATCCATTTGTTTGCCACTGTCAACACAAAGTGTTTTTCATGTAAGATCACTTTGGAGCCTGCTTTCAGATGCTCTGAGCCTGCTCTCTATCTAGTGTGTGTGCATGTGTGTTTTTTTATGCCAGGGTTCCTGTAGCATTGAGGCAAAGAGGTTTCAAATCTGTTCCCCTATTTTCAGGGGTATATTATGGGCCATTAAGATGAATTCTGGGATTCTTCCCCTTCCCCTCACCCTGATTTTAAAGATTTCACTGAAGGAACACATTCCAGTTCTTAAAAAAAAAAAAAAAAGAAAAAAGAAACAGAACAAAAAATATTTGCATGAAATATCTCACCTTAGGGGGAGGAGGAGGACCAGCCCTCGACATGACGTGCTGAGTTGCTTTCCCACCCCAGACAGCTGCACTCCTTTGAGAATGGCATTTTCTGGGTAGGCTGTGCAGAGGAACAGCTGGTTCCTGGCGCAGCAGTGGAGGACAGTCTGATACAGAGTGGCTTCTACCTATGGGGCAGGAAAAAGAAAAAGCTTCATCTTGCAGGAGTTGCCAGTCCAGACTGAGCACACACGTGCATATCCAAAGCTCTGAGTAGGGAGCACATCCCAATTTAGATGAGCAGTTGTGCAGGTGCTTAACTTTAAGCGTGTGCTGCATCTGCTCATGGATGTCAGTGGGACAGAACATTAAGCTTTAAAGCTGAGCCTATGCTTAAATGCTGCCTTAAATAGGGGTGACTTCAACATGTGCCTGTGTTCTCCAGAGCTGGATCTATACTGTAGGGCTAGGATGTTTTTAATTAATAATGTAGCTTATATAAGGAGCTTATGGAATTGTTTGGATAGTTGAATGCTAAAAGTAAATTTTATTCCATGCACTTTTTTTAAAAGTAAAAATTTCACACTTTTGATTCACACCAACTGGCACAGAAAAATCAGCCGGAGTATCTGGCTTTCCCCAGTGCATAGAGATGTTTCCTCTATTGAATACACTTCCCAGAAGAATGTTACAGTAGCAATGACTGTGCTTTTCTGTGTATTTCTTGCTGTTGGCAGTGTCTTGCCCCTAGTATTCTCTTGATGTATCTCGGTATGTATATGTGATGCATTTTTCCTGAATTTGAATACATAAAACTGTATTCATTTAGGGATGTAAATATATATTTTTTTTCTGCAATCTCTGTGCTCTTGCCTTCAGTGATGTGTTACTGGAGTGATGGGAAGCAGGGGATGTACTGAAGTCAGGCTTTCTTGAAGGCAAGAAAATAAAACCAGTTTGTTTCTATGTATCTGCATAGGCAGGTGTAAAGTAAGTGGAAAGAGAGAGGAACCAGAGGAATGACTGAGGGACACAACACCCCGGTGCACAAAGGTTGCAGTGCTCTGGGAGAAATGGGACGCTCTGGTTCAAACAGTCATGTCACAGGGCTGGCTTCCTGAGGCTCTGGAGTAATCTGGAGGATTTAAAGACCACTCCTTTGCCACCTGGGAATGGTGTAGGATGCAACACTGCAGCAGCTTCTGCTTGTTTAGAAAGTAGGTGGAACCCCATGGAAACCCCACACATCCACCTTTCCCACCTGCTGCTGCTTCTGGATGTGCTGCCCAGAAGGTGGGAGAGAAACAGTTCAGCGAGCTCGGTGCTTCCTGCCTGCAGGACTCCTCACTTGCACTTTAGTGATGGCATTTCCCTTTGCCTGGTGCTGTTTGTGGGTAGTGCCAGAGACTTTATTCTTTTTGCAGGCCACAGAGAACTCTTCTACACTGTCAGGAGGCTGTTGCAAACCTGTTGTGACCAGCAGGGCTGGGTGACACAGCAGCCCTGCTTCTGGAGCTGACTGTGTTGCACTGCTGTCCTGCTCTCAGGCAGTGGATTTCAGTTAGAGTGAAGCTGTTGCATCTGAGGCTGGTGACTGAATGTTTTCCCCTAATTATTTTTAAGTAAACTGGACTCGGCTTCAAAATTTCTATGATCTAAAGCCCATTCCCATTAGGCTGGAACATCAGCAAATGTTGAGGACTGTTGCACTGGAAGCAAAGCTTGTAGACTTGAACAGAAGACGTTACTATAATGAGAGCCAAGTTTTTTGCAATTTCTGTGATTATTATATGTAGGAGGTGAACAGTCACTAGTAGTGACATGTAGTCACCGAATCTGGCTGATATCCCAAAAGGAATGTTCTAGCCAAGGTTACTCAGCAGTGGAAATGTCTTAAAACTTGCAGGACTTCTTGTTCAGCTCTGTACCCAGTTGTGTGAGTATTTAGAAACTCTTCCTTGCTCCAGTGTTTGCATTTGAAGAGATGTCTTACCACCATGTTGGTGGTGTTTGTAGCTGTGTTTTATTGTGTAAAGGAGGTGTCCTTCTGCTCCTGTGGGGCCCTTGGTGTGATACTGCCATCTGTTACTGTGGAAGTCATATCCAGATAATTACTGTGTTTGACAAATAATGTGAGTTGGAGGTGGGAGAGGCATTTCACTGGCAGATATATTTTCCTCTAAGGTATCCACCTCTAAAAATACTAATTAGCAATTGCATTCTTAGACTGAGTAACTGCAGATATTAGACCAACTCATCTTGCAACTCAAGCCCTGGAGAACCCTTTTATCCCAGAAAAGAAGTCTGTGTTTTATGACATACAGGTAATTTGGTAATAAAGGATCACTTGATGGCTCACTGGGGCAGGGAGAAGAGTAATCTGATAGCAGTGTTGCAGAGAGTGCATATTTTGATCAAGTGTCAGGCACTGGCAGAACAGACAGGAGATAGTGTCTCCCCATTTGCAACAACTTTGCTGTCTGTTCTCTGATAAATTTCTTACTTCTTTGCTGTGGACATCCTTTGTGCTCTCAGGCTGGCCAGGAAAGTACAGCCTGCCTCTGTCAGTGTTACTGTTGGTGGAACAAGGGCCTCCCTTCCCTGGGTAGATCACTTCAGACACAGAAATGGGGTATCATCTCCTTCTAGCAATACACAGATGCAGTAAACACTCCAGTGTCAAACCCAAGGTTATATTTAACCTTTGGGAAAGCACACAGTCCCAGTTACTGTCTCCTGATCTGTTCCTTGGTTCATTTGACCTTAGATTCTGAAAAGCTAAATGATATTCTGGTCAAACCTGTTGCAAACCACTACAGGTATTTCTGGACAGTGGAAAAAAAAAAAGACTGGCTTTTGGCTAGAAGCTGCCCTTGGTCAGGCTAATTCTACACAAGGTTCTGCAGAAAAATAACCTCTTTCAAAACTTGCACTTAAAGAGTACCTGAAATGTAGTCTCTCACAATTTTTCTGGTATTGGCTGCTTCCCTCCAGACTTCAGTCTTCAGCTGCTGCCTAGTTTTCATTTCAGAATGATGCTGATTCAAAACCGCTTTGATATCAAAAGACGATTTTTCAGCTTTTTGAATGGCTTCTATTTAAGACTGAAGCTGTTAAAGAATTTTTCTTTAAGTGCAACATTGATGAACTGTAACTATCCCATCTATTTTTAAGGAATTTTAAATATGCAAATATGTAGGAAGTTTCAAAGAAACCCAGCATCCAACAGAACTTTTGTTGCCAACTTTCCTTTCACGGTCTTTGGGAAAAATTCAGATAGTTCTCAGCCAGCTCTGTAGGGAGTTGAGCACAGCATTATTAATTCTCAAAGATGTGTATCAACAAATATTTTGCTGTCTGAGTGCAGCAATGCTCCATTTACTTTGGTAGGACTGCATTGCTCTCCAGAGAGGATCTAGACCGACAGTATTTAGGCTCCCTAATCTGGCTTGTAAATGAGGGCTTGGAAGCTGATATATAAACACACACTGCGGGCTGCTACATGAGGCACTGCTCACTGCTCTGTGCAGCATAGTGCCCGTGACATGCGATGAGTCTAAGAACTAGAATTTACAAATAAAAGAATGGGTTTTTTACATTCTTTAATGGTAGTGAATATGCAGTGGTTTTCTCTTAAAACAAATACTGTATGGTGTGGTCTGAGGGATTTTTTTCCAAGGAAGGAAGGAAGTAGCAGCTGATCAAACACTTGCCAAATCAGTGGCTTGGCTTATACTGATTTAAGTGAAAACTTGACTCAGACTTTAACTGAGCAGCTCCTACTGTAAGCAGCAATGCTCATATTCTTGTCATTTGTTACTCAAGAAACATTGTCAAGAAGTCATGACTCGTTGGTTTTAGACGACATAATACGACAGGTCTGACATTTTGTTCCTTTGCATCTCAGTATTTTTGAATTCAAAATAATGATCCTAGGAGCAGTTTGCTGTTTAGTCATGCATGGGTTTCTAGTTAATGAAGCTCTGCATGTAGCTTTAGAGTTTGATGAAGATTGCAGTCAGTGCTGGGTCTGAATCCTGTCATTCTGCATAATGCACTGGGAGTTGGTCTGGTGTGCAAGAGAGTTGTTTCTTTCTGGCGCCTCAGCATTCTGTTGACATTTACATTCTTGGTCTTGTCCCCAGCCACCATTAGGTGTCTGTGTGCCTTGGGGCAGCACTTTGAGCAGATGGGAGGGACAAATTCAATATTCTTGGCTTCAGTGTGACCTTAGCTACCAAGGCAGAATTTCAGTCCTGTCTTTATACCAGGCCAGTCCTGTCCTTGCCTTTTTTGTGGTTGTGTCTCATGTACGTGACAAAACGTCGTATCTGGTTCTCATGGCATACAAGCAGGTACTGTGAGTAAAGCTGAAGGTGATCCAGGTGAGGGATCCCTGGGATGTGTCTGTTCTGTGCAGGTGTCCCACTGCACGCTCTGCTGACACTCTGCGGGCTCAGGGCTGCAGCTCAGCGTGGCCAGCACGTCGCAGAGGGCACAGCACAGCCCGTGGGGATCCGCAGGCACGGTCTGCAGGCAGGGCCACGCTGCCGCAGCTTGCCACAGCGTGGAGCCAGCTGACGGTCCCGGTGCTCTCGGCACCTGCGCTTCAGCTTGCTGGCTTCAGTCTGGGGCTTTCCTTCGGCTGCAAGAGTAGTACCTGCTCAAACATACTGTTAGACAGATTCGTTTTTACTTAAACTTTAAACCTGGTGAAAACATTAACAAACACGGGCTTCTGCAGTGTAATTTGGACACCTTAGCCCTGGAATGGAGGTGCTGTGACACCTGAGCTGTCAGCTTTGCTGTCACTGTTCTGGCACAGTGATACCCTGGAAGCCCCTCGGAGCCCCCGGGAGGGGTGGCAGGTGACTGTTCTGGGGGACATCTGTGCAGGGGCAAGGGGGCTGCAGACACCCCTCCTCCCAGCGGTGAACTCACACTCCCCAGCATCAGCCCTGATTTATTTACTACCTTATCCATAGCTAAATTATTCTGACTTTGGAGAAAGGACATCAGAAGGAGAACCAAGAATTTAGTATCCTGTGAATACTTCAGTACACTACAGGGCAGTAAATGTTGCACTGATATATATTTAAATGCTGAGACATTTTGAGAATTACTGTAAAATCAGTTGTGAGAGCCATTTGTTTTTCTCTGTTGCACAGACTAGTCACTTTTTTGCATGGTTACATATTTTAGTACTTGTGCCTTTTACTTCTCTGTTGTGAGGATACATTTTATTTTCACATTTTATCATCTGGTTTTGGACACTTTTTATATACACTTCTTTAATCATCTGGTTTCTTGTAATGTACATGTGTATATATAAAATAGATCAGATTTGTATTCATGTGCCTCTGAGATGTAAAAAATATTCATTTTGTACAGGTTTTTTTAGAAGCACTAGGTCATGGTCTAAACTACGTAGCAAATGAAATTTAACATAATTAGCAGTTCTTTGTCTTCTTTTAGGAATGTTGTGTCAGATGGTTGGTCTCTTGTAAGGCAATGTCACACACACTCTGCAGATTTATTGTTTTAGTATTGTTTTGAGACCAATTCTATCCACTTGTTGGCTTAAGTTAATTCAAAATAATAAAACACTTAATTAAATGTTACAGTTCTGACTTGGTGATTATAGTTTTTATTTCCATTAAAGCAAATTTGCTTCCTTTTATACTTGAAATGGGCACCAGACCAAAACCTCATTTGAACACATTGCCCATTTCAGGTTAATTTCTGTTCTGGGATTATTTTTGTGGGATCAGGCAGGTGATTTACTTTGACCGTTGAAATGGAAAAAGAAATAGCATTACCAATTGATAGACTCTCCATCTTAGAGTGCCTAAAATGCTTTAGTTACTCCTTGTCTTCCCTGCCTGGCTTCTGTGGCAGTGTTTCCTAAGGACAGACCTGGGTCTGCATTCCTCTTGCGGATGTGAGAGATTGGGTGTCTTGCTCTTCACATTTTGGCAGATGCTGAACAAACTCTTTCCCTTGGGGTTTGTAGCACAGCACTCTCCCACAGCATTTGGGAAGCTGTGCAGATGCTTTGTGAGCCTGAACATCTGTAAGTGGCAGCGAGAGCCCTGGTGCTAGAAGTGTCCTTCCCTCCTTCCAACCTCTTCTCAAGCTGGTGGTTTCATTTCTGGAGTGTTGACCCTGCTCATGTGATGAGATCCTACAATTGTTCCCTCTCTCACACCTTGTTTATCAATACCCCACTCACCAGCCCCCAGAGAGTGAGATAATAAACTGTGGTAAGTCTCAAGGAAAAAATCATCAATATCCCCTAAATCTTTCAAAAACCAAAGTTTTTATCTATAAAAGAATATGTTCCACTCTCACAGAGCAGAAATTTTTTGACTGAATTTGACACCCATTTCACAGAATAGGAAGCTGCCTTAGAAGCCAGGAGTGGTTTTATTTTTTATTTCAAAGGCTGCTTGGTATGAAAATGAGCAAAGTTCTCTTGCTCCATTGTTACTGAAAAAAAAGCAGCCAGCAGAAGTGGCATATGACTATTTTAAATCTCATTCTGTAATTTATAACATCAGTGAAGTGATGTCAGTACTGTTGCAATGTGCCATTACACTATTTTCTCTGTATTTTCTTGAAATACTTTTTGGGGACAATAAAGCTGTCCTTGCTGATGTGAATCCTTCAGGTAGCTGTAATGTACAATCAGATATGTAAATAAATTATTTGCTTTCCCTGCATGACTAAAGCATTGTCTGTGATGGGTGACTGATTTAGTGTCCCTACTTACCTTCCTCCCTGGTCCATGTCTCTTTCTGTGCTTCATTTAAAGAAGGATTGCCCAGTTCTGTTCTCACCTGCCCAAACACCAGCTTCATTAACTTTGCATAAGTTACACAGATGGCACGGGGAAGATGCTTGCTCAGTACATGCCTTACCTGACATCCCCATTGTGTTAAATTTCCAAGCCCAAACTTCCCAGGACCAACCCATTAATGTCTCCACCAACAGCGCTGCCCTTCTCAATCGATGGGAACTCCAGCTGGGAGCTCTTTGCAGCTTTTTGACACCAACCTTTTTATGTGACTTAAATACAATTATTTACTGACCCATGTAGCTAATGAGCACTGCTGTGGCTCCTTCCTTGAGGAGCAGCGAGCTGTTGTGGGGAGGGCCCAGCCTGGAGCTGTGTCCTGGGGGATCTGCTGCTGGGGCAGTCTGACCTGGCATGGCCAGCAGCGACCACCCCAGGGCACGTGCTGAGGGGAGTTTCACACCTAAACCGAAGGCAGCAGCTTCCCCGGGAGAGTCCTGAGGGAAAACTCTGCCGTGGGCGGCCCCCGGAGAGGCCGAGGCTCCCGGCTGTACCTGGGGGCCATCCTGGGAGCAGCACCGCAGGCTCTGTCCGTGAGGGACCGGGACAGTGCTGGGACACTCTGGCCGTGACTGGGAGCCAGGACCTGTCACAGGTGCCAGGTGTGCGGACCAGAGGAGACCCTCAGCCTGATGTGGGCTCAGGCCAGGACTCGCCACGGCCCGCGCTGGCGGAACAGGCTCTGCGTGAGGTGCGAGGGTGGAGGGCACACCCAGGGCCTGCTCGACCGACACTCTGAGGTAACGTTTTCTTTTAACCTCCAGTTAGAGCCACCGGACCTCCTGGCTTCTTCTCTGGGCTTTTATTTTAACTGCTGGAGTCAAAACAATAACAAGTGAGGAGCAGCTTAGGTTCCAGGCTGCTTTTTGCAAGATCCGTGTGGAGGGAGGGGAGTGCGCCATGGGCAGGTCCCCATGGGCAGCCAGTCCTGAGCTGGTGTCTGTGGGCACGTTGCCCAACAGAGGGGTCCAGTGCTCTGGGAAAACGCTGCTGACAGAGGGGCAGACACTGTCAGCCCAGAGAAATGCTGGATGCTCATTACTTGGGAAAAATGGAGCCTTTTTGTTATGTGTTGGGGACACTCCAGGGTGAGGTGTCCCCTCAAGCAGCCCAGTGCAATTCCCTACCCTGTCCTAGCTGCCCGACAGCATCTCGGATTAAACCATCAGGGTTGGCCTGGGAATGTCAGTAAAGCCCACCCTGACAGAGCCACAGGGTGCAGGTGGTTCAGGGATGTGTTTCCACAGGGAATTTCATGGGTTTGAAGTTTGACTCCTGAGAAGATGCTGCTCCCACACCCAGCCTGCACCTCCAGAGTCACCTCATGTCCTTGGGCTAACAAAATGTGACCATTTTGCACCTGTGTGAAAGATAGTGAAGGGTGCCAGGGAACCAAGCCTATGGCATATAATTTAAAATACAAAGCAGAGTTTAAGGTGGTAAGATCTCTGCCTCCAGCTGGGCTTGGAGCAAGGCAGAAGAGGAAAGGGAATTTTGAAAAGACTTCACTAGTCAGTTCAGCCTTGCAGGGCAAATATTTTCCTTTCAAAAACATTTTGATGGTCTTCAAGTGATCATACTATACCAAATAGCTTTCATTTGACTGACAGTAGTCTCTAAACCTGGTATATGTCTTTTAGAGTACCATTCCATTAGGCTGTGAGGTAGCTTTTCTCACAGTGGGTACAGATATTTGGGGAATCAGAGCAGATACTGTACAAATAATCCATGGAGCAACGTACCATGTGTTATCTTCTCAGGCTCCCTGTTCCCAGATTCCTCCCAGCAATAACATGTTGGATATTCAGATTTATAACAGCATGCTCAAAGAAAACTCCCTACTGTGTATGCTAAACCACTTCACAGAGAGACAGGGAGCAGTTTTGTTCCCAAACCTCAGCAGCTCAGTCTAATGTGCTGTACTACTGACCTACTTGCACAGCAGTCACTTGCTAGTACATGAGAATGACACAGTGGGAAAGCAAATCCCGTGATACTCTGGGGGCAGGAATCACCCCCACCACGTATCACAAAGTCTGTAATAGTTTCTAGCAAGTTATGCTGTTCTCACCGGGCTGGAGAGACGCAAGGCCCTTCGGTCATTTTGCAATTGGGAATTAAAGCTCAGAACTCCTGGGAGGTGACAGTTGCCTTGCTCTGATCATCAGGGGGGAAAAGTGGGTTTGGAGGCAGACAGAGGCTAACTGGGGTAGTAGCAGAGTAGGAAAGAGATTGCAAGAGAATTGGGGAGTGACAAAGAGAACTGTTACAAAGAGGAAATACATCACATGGGAGCACCAAAGGAGTACATCTCCCAACTCCTGCAGTCTGGCAGCAGGCTCTGATCTGCTCAGGTTGTCTTGGCTGACACATTTTCTTCAGCATAGCAGTCTCAAAGCCCTGACTTTGGTGTTTTCCCTTGCTCTGTTCACTGTTCATGATGGCCCATGTTTCAGTGTTGTCCTGAGTCTCTGATGGCAGACTGGGATTTGGGATGTGTCACTCCATTCTAAATGCCTTTTGACATATGCAGTGCAGCAGGGACTCTCGTAGCTTGCGTAACTCAGGGTGAAATTCGTCCTTAGAGCCAACTGCTTTTTGGATGCATATGACCAGTAAATTGAAGATTGTCCCAGATGTATAACTATTTGGGTTAATGGTGATCTTTAAATGACTTTGCAATGATCATATGTCAGTATGTCCTCCGGCATGGTGCTTAAATCTGAATTTCCATCACATGGGGATCTTTGTGCCTTAGCAGACAAGGATGCAGTTTGTATTTTGATGTGATAGTGCGTAACAGGGGTTACGACTCAAGTACAAACTGTTGCTGATAAGACAGAGGAGTTGGGCTGTGGCACCAACAGAGGTAATGGAACTCAGCTGCTGAAAGGCTGTGCTTGCTCTCTCCCTGCTGTACTGGAGAAAATTGCTGGTTGTGTTTTGTGAAGCACCGTCTCTCTTGGCCACCCTGTGGCTTTTCTCAACGTGCTCAGGCTTTTATTTGAAACCGGAGCGGTCACTGGGCAGAGCTGCTCTCAGCCCTTTAGGAATCCTCTGGTCAGCCTGAGCACTTGCCCCACACAACAGAGAAATGACCCCTGTCCAAGCCTGTCCCTCAGCTCTGGCTGTGCTCAGCAGTGAATGGGGGGATGCCCTGAAGAAAAGCAGCAGAGGGGCTTGCTTTCGTTCTTGGAAATACTGTGTAAATCTGGATTAAAGGTGCAGCCCTGAAGCCCCTTCTCAGGGCTGCATTCCAGGGAGCAGCAGGGCTGGGCCATGGGCACAGCAGAGCTTCCCTGCAGCAGAAAACAGCCAGGCTCTTCCCATCACTCTGCCAGAGCTGGGGAGGGAGGAGGAGCCTTGCCAGGGCTGTCCTGTGCCCAGGGATGTTTCACTGCCCTGAAATGCAAAGTCCAGGGCCAGAGGGTGCAGGATGTGGCTGAAAAACCTCTGTGAGTTCTGCAACCCCAGCAGCTCCTGCCGTCCTGCTGTTTTCAGGATCTGAATATCACTGGGATCCTGACTTCCCAAATTACCATAGCCTCAAAAAGTAAACCTTACTTTTTTGGATAGGTTCACTGCGGTATTTATATGAACCCTAAAAATGGGACCCTCGGGAAAGCAACTGTTTCTCTTTGGAATGAGTTGATCAGACCTCATATGGTTGGTTTATTTGAGCAAGGAGCACATTGTGAACACAGGATGCATCCCTGTAATAAAGGTTGTGTAACTCAGATCTGATTCAGCAGAGAGTGGGGCCTGGTTACAAATTCATAAAGTGAAAATAGTGATTCTGTGTCAGATTGGTTCTAACTGTGCCTGGATTTTTTTGCTTTTTGTTTGTTTCGTTTGGCTTGTAGTTTCAGGAGGAGTGTGTATACCAGATTACTTTCTGCTGCCCAACATTGGTTCAAAACTAAAAACCAGGATGAAAAATTTCAGTTCAAAGCTAAATAATAGTTCAAAACCACAACCTTCAAATTCTTCCCTCCTGTCCTACAGCTAGTGGTGATAAAAATGAGAGCTGATTCATTTCTTGGGCTTTAACCAAGTGTTAGCCATAAGACTAAATATTTGGTAGCTGGAAACCCAAAGGAGGAAATATTAATAATGCAGTATTGTATTTATGATTTATGCTATTATGATTTGACTATGTAAACAGAACATAATGGGTTTGAAGTAAAAAGTGAAAATTCAGTTTGAATATCAGGAAACATCGACTGCCTGATACTGTCCCAAGGGAAGGGGTGGAAACGCCGCTGTTTGGCTCTCAGGGAGGCGGGTGGCAGTGCCGGAAGGGAACTGCGCCGTGCCGGGCCAGTCCCCGCCGTTCCCGTGTGCGTGCCCCGGGAGATGTGTCCCACCGGGCCGGGGCCGCAGGGCTGCCTCCTGCCCCGGGGGACCCTCCCCGGCCCCAAACCGGGAGCAGGTGCCGGAGCACGGCCGAGCGGCAGCGCTGGAGGTGTGCGTGAGCTTGGCAGGACTTGCCTCGTTCCGAACAGCTGCTGTTTGTTTCCCGAGGCAGCCCTGTGATTTCGCAGTGATGCTCCGCGTTCCTCTGCCGTGAGAAATACCGAGAGGAAGGAAAGCAAAGCTTCACCGGGGATTCCGCGGCGTCGGAGCAGCGGCGCTCGGGGACACCGGGGACACGGCGGGGGTGGCGGCGCCGGGAAGGGCTTTCCGAGGAGCGCCGCTGCAGCGACACGGGGCAGGGGATGCCGAGCTCTGCAGGCGGGGCAGGGCTCGCCCGCGCTCCCGTTCCCGGCGCTCCGCCCCGCGGCCGCACGTGTCCGCGGGAGCCCCCCGGGTGCAGCCAGCCCGTCGGGCGCGGTGGCCAAGTGGTAAGGCGTCGGTCTCGTAAAC